CAGAACTAGAGAACGGCTTACTGATGACGCTTGGCTCCTTGTCCGGGGAGAACCTTTCCTCCTGAGACCTTGCCTGTATTCTTCTTCCCACCGCCACAGGACGCGATTGTCCTGGGAGAACCTTTCCTCCCGAGACCTTGCCTGTGCCCTTCTTTCCACCGTCAGGGCCCCCACAGGCCGCCTGCATTGACGGCATTGTTGCGACGGACGACAGCGAATATGTGCCCGCACTTGTTTCTGTTGAGATTCGCAATGTCGATATTGAATTGGCGATGATGGCGTGGTTGTCTGGCTCCTAGGGGCACTTCAGCAATGCGTAGAGCTCAGTGGACTTCCAGATGACGAACCTCGAACTGCCAATTACTACCTCCATGCCGAAAAGAACCTATCCGGCGGCGGGCTCTGCCACGAGACTATTGGAAGAACAGCGGCGCGCCAAGCCCAAAGACAGACATTTTGAAGCAAGTCTAAAAACGGGAAACATGCCAGAAGATTGATTGTGGTAGGAAATGGTACTGATATCTGCCTTCTCCCAGATGTGGGAGTCGCATGGAGGATGGAGATGCAGTGTTGATGTTGTGTTGCGTGGTCGGATGAAAGGAGATGGGCGGTAGCTGTTATTCGAGGGAAGAAGGAGGCGGCGCACGGTGCAGCCAGAAATCTCGCAAGGACCTATGGTCTGATTTACGAACAGTAGGGAAGTAGGCAGGCCGAGTGCCTTCCTCTCTGACGTTGACACTCTTCACGGTACTTTCCCGTTTCAGCACACTTGGGCTAGAGGAGGGAGGAAGCACCACTTGTGACTTCCGGCCTCACTTTTGGCCCTCCTCAATGGAACTGAGACTTTTTGTGAGAAAGCCGTTCCGCGGTCGCCAACGCAGTGCAGCGACTCAACAACGCCGACCTTAGCACCGGCCCTCAATTGGCCTGCGGCCTCGCGTGGGCTCAAGATATATTCGCGGAAGACAATAGTTCACTCAAGATGTCTTCAAACCGCAGGAGGGCGTTCAACATAGCAAAGGGGGTGGGAAGGACAGCAGTGGCTACCGTGCTGGGAAGGGAAGGGTAGGAATGTGGTTTGCAGGTGCGGCTCGTACTTTAAGTGTGCAACATTTGCGCTGCTAGGTGGCAGGCTAGTTTGCGACAATCTGCAGCCGTTGCACAGCCAATTGCCCGCAGATGTGAGGTGTGTTGTGGTTGCAGGCAGAACTTGTCGGACCATTGGCAGAGCTTGTCTGACAGACATCCTCGAAAAAGGTGAGGCGTGGGGGGCGGAACGGCCCGGCACGACAGTGGCTTCCAGTCTTGTAGTTCTGCTCGCCGGCCCTGCCCGCCTCATCTTAAGCAGTACCTTAGATAACTGCCCAATTTTCGTGCTTCAATCAGCAGCTACGGAGAGTAGCGCCGCACCGGGAGAGTGCGTGCGTATCCACCTTACCTTACAGTGCCCCACGGTACCTTCAGGGGACGATGATGAACAGACCATCAGGGCGCGAAAGATCCACCTGGCGCGCGCAACAGCAGGGCCATGTCGACCACGCGAATAAATTAGGCGACGATGGAGAGCGTCCCATGCGAGCACAACATAAAGAAAGAGCATCGTGCCGTAGGGAGACCAGGGCGGGAGAATGATGTTGACTTGTTGATATCAGCCTAATTCAAGCTGAGGAGAAATGTCGTGCACGCAACTCGGAGCCACTCAGCAGCCATCGCCGCCGAAGAGTCTAGATTCAAGCTGCTTGTGCTTGCTGTTTGGAACGACCACAGAAGCAATGCGAGAGACCTCGAAGCTAACCCCGCTGCTCCGGAAGCAAGCTATACTATGCCGAGGCCTTACTGGCGCAAGGCGCCAAACACTTTCTGGGCATCGCAGGTCCCGGAGGGTTGACGTTCCTCGCGGCGACGCTAGGCTGCAAGTCGAAACCTTTTCGACTTCGGCCACCCACATAGCTGCTGACATAATGCAGGCCGAAACCTTTTCGACTTCGGCCACCCACATAGCTGCTGACGTAATGCAGGCCGAAACCTTTTCGACTTCGGCCACCCACACACCTGCTGACGTAATGCAGGCCGAAACCTTTTCGACTTCGGCCACCCACACACCTGCTGACGTAATGCAGGCCGAAACCTTTTCGACTTCGGCCACCCACACACCTGCTGACGTAATGCAGGCCGAAACCTTTTCGACTTCGGCCACCCACACACCTGCTGACGTAATGCAGGCCGAAACCTTTTCGACTTCGGCCACCCACACACCTGCTGACGTAATGCAGGCCGAAACCTTTTCGACTTCGGCCACCCACACACCTGCTGACGTAATGCAGGCCGAAACCTTTTCGACTTCGGCCACCCACACACCTGCTGACGTAATGCAGGCCGAAACCTTTTCGACTTCGGCCACCCACACACCTGCTGACGTAATGCAGGCCGAAACCTTTTCGACTTCGGCCACCCACACACCTGCTGACGTAATACAGGTCGTAAAATCGTTCTTTCCCGGGTCGCGTCGTGTCCTCGCGTCTGCCAGCAGGTACCGGTCCAGGCGTTACGACCTCTGCCGCCCAGGGAGCCCCTGTCAATTCTAGCGCTAAGTTTGGGCAAGGGTCCTGGGATGAAGGAGCAGCTGCACCTCATCTTGACCACCCACCTACACAATCAATTGACAGCGCCGTTTGCATGACGGTGCGGTGGTCCAGTCGCATTCCTTACCACCGCAATCACCCATTCAATCAACCGATTCTCAAAAATGCCGTCGCCATATCTTTCACCACTCTCCCTCAGGGCGGCGGTTACGGAGCGCAACGTGTCTCGGCTGGCTCAACAATGCCGCTATCACCCTCGAATCCGGCAGAGACTGGGCACATATCCTATAACACTGGGGTGTTGACGACAGAGACATCGGCGACGACACTGAACGGAGTCGCAGCGGCGGAATCCGAGACTTCGGGACGGTTTGCACGGTCTGCTCGATCGACCCAAAGTCCTGACGGACAAGGTGAAAGCACAAGGGGATCGTTTAAAGGAGGCCGAAGTATCAGCCTGCTGCAGCGGTGATTGCTTGGCACGCAGCGACTGGGCAGCGTCTACTCCACAAATGCATGAGATGTCGATGCAGGCAGGCGGAGAGGGGTCGTTCACAAGCGACCTGGCGAGCTTGCCCCAGATGCTGGTAGCCGTCCGACCCAAGCTGCTGCAGCGGAAGTAGCAGGAAACGCTGCTCGGTTTGTTTCTTCCCCCGTTTCCGTCTTTCTATTGCTCGATGTCTTTTCTCACAGGTGTAAACATGCTAATCCGTCGATCATTATCAGCGTTCCAGTACAATGTGACGAGCCTCAGCCCCTTCGCTTCGCAAATAACATCAAGCACATCTTGTGTCAACAAGAGACGTTGCTGAACAATCCCTCCGCACTGGATGACTCTTCTCAGCCGCGCACAGGGTCTCTCCAGGGCTGTCAAGATGGTCACAAGCCCGCCAAGCCGACCCAAGGCACCTTGGATCGCAGCCTGGCTAATCGTCGTGTAAGACAAAACGCGTTTGTGACGGGAAGCGATACGCCTCATCCTCAACCTTGAGAATCTGTTGGCGCTCGAGTTGGAGCAACATGTGCCAAAGTTGCTGGTGTACGCGAGGTCCTCGAAAGAGCGCACTCAGGTCGACCCGTCGTTCGGCAGCTGGTATGCCTGAAGCCCCAATCGTCGGTAGGTAACTTAGGGAATACATGGACACCAACATGGAGGTTGTGTACTTCCCATTATTTTTTGGACTTATTGCTCTCGTCTCTTTGCCTTACCTTCAACGGCGTCTGCCACTACGCAGTCCTACGACTCAATGTCCGAGAGCTTGTCGCCAATAGCTCACTCGCGCGCATGATCCAGCCATTACTTACGGAGCCCCGCCGATTCCTCGCGGTCCCGTTCAAGACTTAACAGGCGTCTGTTCGCACACGCCCACGGCTCAGGGAGCACGCTTAAGACCGGTCGCATCTTGGAGAGTATTTCCTGCGAGCGTCAGTTCAGATGATCCTCTAAATTGCAGCAGAGGCGCCAGCCATCTCATCCACCAATCTCTGCAATGCCCATAAGCCCGCCGTCTTCACCTCTGCCAGTGAGAACTATACGATGCCCTCCAAGCGCTGCTCGACAGACTTTCATTTGGCTACAAGCCGCTGTCATATGTCTTTCTGGAGCAGCTTGCTGCGCCTAGCGAGTATGTTGGTGGTCTCTGTTACGCTGCGGAACATGTTACTAATAAAGACGCGGATGAAGACGGTCCTGACTCCACAGTTCCCCTGAGAACTTTCCGTAGCCGGAAAGCAGGCCTCTTGAGTAATAGCGCCGTGAGGAACTATCCACCGAACGTCTGGATACTCGCGCCGATTTTGCCGGCCACATGGCGCACAAAGCCCGTGGCCTCGATGTCCTGCGTCATCACAAGGCCGGCTAGTAAGGCAGTCCACGCTGATGCTGGCTGTCCTCGAGACTCGCCAAGCTCCACTATCGCCCATTATTCACGCCTTTATCTTGTGGCTCATTATGCCCAGTTCCAGCTAGACTGGCCAGAAACATCGTAGGATGTGATGTTGGCGTAGGAAGTCGTTCCGCTTCCCTCCGCCCCATGCGCCACCGCCGCCACCACTGAACGGCGTGGAGTAACCGCAGTCTTGTCTCCAGGGTTTGCCGCTACTTACGATGCCGCAGCCGCTATGTCAGACATGCCATTCGAGCGTGTCGTGAGGGACTCACTAGCCGAGGAAGCCCTGTAGAGTGCGCCGAAAAAGGGACTGAGAAGGAAGAACCATCTAAGGTGTGTACGATGTGACGAAGTGCGCTGCGGGGTGCGATGCGCTGATTGCAGCGACACATGCGAAGACGAAGACGAGAAGGGCGACCAAGACACCAAAGCAGAGGCGGCAATGCCGGACAATGCCACAGGAGGTGTAGGACACCACCTTGATGAGACGAGCGATGCGGTTCTGTCTATCAGTGTCGTGGCAGTCGACCTAGTAGTTGCTGTCAGTGTTGTGGATGGTAGTGCTGTGTGTCAAGCCGTCGAAGAAAAAGTTTTTGGTGACGCCGGCGATGGCCAGCGTGCGGGCAATGGTGAGGTTCGTCTGTATTTGCGGTTCAGACTCGGATTGCAGACGTTGTTTGGGGCGTAAGACGTTCTCTGTTGCTTCGTTCGCGACATTGTCTTCACCTTGGCGCAGTGGTTGAGCCATGTTGTTTTGTCCGCATTCGACGATGCCACCCTCGTGTTTTTGCAGCTGCTGTGACTTCTTCTTCCGAGCGCTGAACACTTTAGCCAGGATTACTCAAGACAACGTGTGTTGCGTTGTGAGAAATCACAAAACCCGCCAGGGCTCGTCCGACACCACCCGTCAAGCCAGAAAGCTAGTAAGTGCAATCTGATTGGAAGAGATCCTGGCGACGGTGAATTGGCTCGACACAGTCAAGCGCATGTTTCTCTTCTTGGCAGTATATGAAGGAGTTCAATGTAGGTGGCGAATCGGCGATATAATCCTCTTGAGTGTCAGCATGTTGAGCGGTTGGCCCTCCGGAATCACCAAGTTATCGACCAACGATGAGGCGAAGGAGGAAACCATCTGAAGCAATCTGGTGACAGTCGCAGTCGGGCAGAACGGATGCCTCTCGCGCAGCAAGGTCAGAGAGCACCACCTTTGCGCAGACACGAGACAAGAACGCCGTGATAGCACGCCCGAGATTAGTCGCGCTATCTTTATGACTTGCGTCAATCTACAGAGTCGTGTCTGATGGTGTGGCCGAGTCGGTGACCCGCTTCGCGCTGTTGTCGTGCAAGTACGGCCAGTTTCTTCCGGTTTTCTCCGGGTTCGAAGTGATAAAGGTGACCTTTCGACCAAGCTTCGTCAGCTCCCCGGATAGCAGAGACGATAAGACCTGATCTTGCTCATACGAAACTACAGTTCCTGTTGGCGGTAGCAGCTGTAACAGCTGCTGGACTGTTAGATTGGCTAGGGCGAAGAAGATGAAGCAAGCGTCGATCGCGTCATCGCTGTCCAAACCCTTGGGACGGCCACTACAGAGGCATTGCGGTTCGAGAAGCAAATATTCTTGCTGCCCGTCTTCGTCTCCTTGCCAACATTAACGAAGACATTCCCAGAAATCGTCTTTACCAATGGAAAGAAGGAACAAGAGATCTGAAAATTGACGAGGTCATCAGAAGAAGGTGTCGTCTTGTCACGCCATTCATGAAGCATGTAGTTCCCGTCGGTCCATTCCAGAGTCATGCATATTTCGAAAGCATCCATCTGCTTGGTGATAGATCTCTTTGAGGAGTTTTACCGAAGATTTTGAGATTCTTGTGGACGGGCCCTGGGGATGAGAATCTGTTGACCTTTGAGAACAGGCTCCGATTCAAAGTTTCACAATAATTTGCCTAAATCTCCTTGCTGAACCATGTAGGCCTGGATGCCCAGCCTGTAGCATCGTCACGGATACAAGAATGGGGTTGACGGTATCAAGGGTGTCATTGATATCAAGAGTTTGCAGCAGGGTTCCGGGGAGTTCATGAAAGAGTTTCCTGAACAGCCTCGGGCGGTTCCAGCGTTGGGGTTGCTTGCGCAGCCCCCCTTTAGCATCCATGGCACACCATGTGCGTTTGGAAGAAGCTCTCTGAAATTATTGAAAATGCCTTCTACCATGTCTTAAAACAGATCATCTTCCAGCTCTGTCGGAATAAAGATGCAGATTCTGTCGTGTAGAATTAGCAGGATGCGCAAGTCGTTGACATGGGCGATATCGGAAAAGTCAGAGCTCAGCAGATCGCATACCTTAGTTTCCTTCAGAAATTGAACTGAGTGGCATTTGCCGCCCAAGACTACCGACGAGGTGTTGCTGGTGTTCAACTTCGCATCAAGCGAATTAGCTGAACGTGCAATCTGTTTAGTCTACGCTCTGGCAACGATGATTGAACCTGGAACTCCCACAGGGTCTGGCATGGGCGAGCTGCTCTCGTAGTCAGGCTCTTTGAGGATCTTGTTCCATAGCTCAAAGGCAAGACTCGGACCATGATAAATCTCGTTGTTCTCAACTACCTACTAACCTGATAGACCACCTACGACAAGACCGTGACGCTTGACATAATTACGGATGATTTCAATCACGACAAGACATCCTCCAGGCTTGAGAAGCTTACGAGTTTCTCCAGACCGTTTCCAATGACTTAGTCGCATGCAAGACACTGGAGGCCATGGCAACGTCGTAGCTGTGCAGCTCAAAGTTCTGTGCCGAAGGATCTTCGCATATCAAGCTTGATAAACACCATGTTATGAGTGTGCAACTGAGAATGATTGGCAGAGTGTTCAAAGAAAGCGCTAGAAATGTCCGTGTAGTCGTAGGAGCCAACCGCTGGCCTAATGCATTCGAGGATAGCATTAGTGGCACCGCCTGTACCAGCGCTAAACTCGATAAACTTCGTACGGGAATATTTTGTCGCCAGCTGCTCGGTCACTCCATAGACCAACATATTCAGTCACTCAAACCCAATTATGTCTGTGTAGTACCGCTCAGGTTAATTGTCCCTGATCGTGTACTGGAGAATGCCTCTCTCTCCGCTGAGAACCAATGGGATGAGAAGATGCTCTCCGACAGCCTTGGCCTGGTTGAAATCAGCATCATGTTGGCTATGTGATTTCATCATTTGAAAGACCTCCTCTCTGATATTGTTGATCCACGACTGAGGGGCGAATAGATACTCGCCATTGTCCACAATATGATAGAGTCGCTCAGAATCTTTGACCCACGCCTGCCTATACTCTGGCAAGGTTTTGCGCTGCTCAATGGTAGCCCGGCGTGGAAATTCTTCAAAAGATGGCCGCACGCTCTACACCGAGAGCTTACGCGCCTCCCATGGACCTGCGCGCCTGCCTCCAAAGATCATCCACACATCAGGCCGGTCCAACGTGAGAAAAGATTCCTGGAAAAGGTGTTTGTCATCTACGGAAGTGGCAGCGGCGTAGGGGGAAGAAGGTCACTCCCACGATTTCGATGATATGTGTCTCAAAGTCATCAAGATAAAGAATAACATCTCCAGTGACAGGATGCAACGACAAAACGTAGGGCGACGATTGAACAAAGACGGCGATCTTCAGGCGCACCGTGAGCAGAGTTGAGCCCTTGAAGAACACTATCGAGCATTCCGGGATAGAAGAATAGAGAAGTACCGTCTTCGTCGAACTGGGTACAGCGCATAGTTCCCGTGCTAAAGCCCAACTTACGAGCGATATTCGTCAAACCACAGAGGGGACTTCTTACCCAAAACCAAGGTCATTTTTGAGGCGGTTGTGGAGCCTGTCAACGGCAACTCCAGTCATGTTGCAACTATAGGATGATGGCGTGAGAATCGAATTTACGGTTCATTACCGAGGACTACTCAAAATGTACGTGACAGCCGCAGTTAAGAGCTAGTTGGTTCGAGTCTTTGCTAACTGTCGAAGAGACAGAAAAGTCGGCAATCATCTCCTTCTTATCGAATGCAAGGGGGCTGGTCTTGGTTATGGAGCTGAGCATCTCAGTGCCTGCCGCCTCATGGAGTGCGATAGCCTTCACAAATTTGAGGTTGAGAACATCAATTGAGTCAACCCGCTTGCCCTGGACCAATTAAACTGTCGCTTCCACCGCTAGGCAAATATGAGTGGTCTCGGGGAAGACTGATTGGCCTTGTAACGTATGTGTTAGGAGCCACGTCAGCTCGGGTGTCTTGAGCATGTTCCGCCATGTTCTCTCTTCAGCTGTGCCATATGGAGTCTGAAGACTCAGTAGAACATGGAATTTGGCAGGCGATGACCTAAAGACTTTGCTGAGCCCGGAATTGGCACAGAAAGTCTTCTGATGATCCAACGGGTAGGTCGCTTAGTCTTTAATCATGTGCGATCAGCTGCTTGGATGGCATATCTTTTGAAAGCCTCACAAATCGACGGTTTCCTGGCCGAAAAGGCACTAGAGGAAGCCGAGACTGGCAGAAATCTCTTCAATGTCACTTGCGCCTCTCGTAAAACTCCCCTGTGTAAGGCAGCTCCCTCCCAACCTCAGCGGTGATTGTGCCGCTGGTTGGCCCTTGAGAGCGGGGTGCGGTCCGTTCTCGATGACACCGCTGAAAGATGAGTGGGCAGCAGTAAGGCTCGTTTTGATAAGATCATGGAACAACACAGGCTTTACCATGTTTTCGACCCAGTATTGCACCTCAAGCTGCTCCGATGCGTCCACAAAGTGACTCAAATGCGACTCGTCTGGTACCGTTTTGGAGGTTGTGGACCGCTTCGTCTATCCGAACTATGCTCGAGGAAAAGACCATGTCGATTGTCATTGACGGGCCATGTAAATTAAAGAAGTACAAGATACGACTAGAAGTATTACTGGCAGCCGTGACAGAGGCAGCGTACGTCGGAATCGCGTTGACGTCTTGGCCTTGAAGAGCGAAGTAGTCTTGAAAGATGAAAGATGAGTTCGATGTAGAAGCTTGTGTCAGACCCCGCTATGCCGCTAACAGTCTCCCCTGAAGACTCCAAGGCCCCATACACGACCTCTAAAAAGGCCGTTGCTAGGGGTGGATAATTTCAGCTTCACAGCGAGAGACAGAGAACTTAGAAGTACTCGGAGTCGAACTTTCTGACACCATCTTGGAGAAGATAGGATCGTCTGATGTTCGTGGTTCTATAAAGAGCGGCGTCTTTATGCAAGCACGATCAATATTGAATTGGGATCGCGGGACTTGTTGAGATACGTCGTCCAGATCCGGCAATCCATGGTTACAATGGCAATGGCTTCATTCATGTGTGCAGAAATGGTTGTTAGACAAGCCCTCAGGGTGTTTAAGTCACTAGTTCGGATAGTGTCTGCGTTTTTCAGAGTCTGTCAAGCACATCCATGGGTTTAGCGGCGGGCGATGCAGGAGATCCGGGGACATCCAGTGACTTGAATAAGGCAAGGCTAAGGCCAATGGTTTCGACGCCACTCCTAAAAGATGCGCCTTGCTCAAGCGACGTATAGCCGGATATCTTCAATGTGACATCCCTCGTGGCGCCAACGAGCTCGGCGAACCCCCCAAACTCGGATGTGAGCGAGCGCATCCCTGGAACAGCACCGTAAACGCGGTCTCCAGCCTTGATTGACATTGCTGTCCGGATGTTGGATTCAACAGCCACAATGTCGGCAGCAAAATCCGTGCCGGCAATAGCTCATGAAGTTGCAACTGATCCTACCATCGTCGTATCGATTGGACTCAGCGCGACGACAGCATTTCGGACCAAAATCATTTCGGCCCCTAGTTCTGGGACGCCAGCATTGTGATTCATCACCAGGCTTCCATCGCCAAGAGCAGGGATTGCACTTTGCTTCAGGGGCGACGGATCGATGACGTGTAATATGTCTATGCGTCGCAGTGGTCAGGCGTAGTAGGTAAAATACAGGAAAGCTAGGATTAGGGAACAGGAAATGAGTAAAAAGTATAGACCTCTATCCGCAGCACATATACCAGTAAGATGTCTTCGAGATCGACATGAGTATTAGAATCGCTGAAATAAGCCACCAGGCTACTCGCGAAAGGCTAAAAGGTTACTGGCTCATGTAAATTATACTTTAAATAATTACAGATTAGAAAGAATAATATTTTTAAATGCTCGCCCGCGGCCCGTTGGAATTTGCATGGACAAACAACAGTCTCCTACGCCATAATCATCTTCTCATTTTGCTTTCTAGCCGACCATTTCTATATTAATCAAACAGTCGAAGTCATTCAAAGCTACTCTTTTTCTCATCGCTATGTTCTCTACTGTTTCAACGTCACTGACACATACACAAATCCGCCCATCACCACGGTCTTGCGGCCTTAGCTGTCAGCAATCTTACTGAATCCGGTCACGCTCAGCATTGAAGGACCTTATGCGACGACGCTTCTGAAACCTTTCGCCCTTGAAGCTGGGACATTGACTTTCTGGGCTACAGACTGGACAATCTGTATCCTCGATAAATCACACAATTTTGTGAATTCGTGACTCCCAGGGTAAGGAGGAACCTTTTGGTTGCGGTGACACCTGGTGCTAAGAGCTGCATAGAAGAGAACTTCTGAGACGGAATTCTCCCATGCCGTTCCCGGATCAGCGTTGGGAAATCATCCGAGAAATCGCAGAGACGAGTCCATAAGACGAGCTTCTGAGATTGTAAGGGGCTTTGAGCGAAGAGGTTCTCGTTACGAAGCCGAGCGCAATCCGAGACGTTTTTGTCGCTAAAATGTTCGACTTCTCTCATTAATGGCCGGTACGTCTTGCTATGAAGCGCTTCACAGGAAGTAACATGGTTCTTCTGAGCACCGCAGACTTCAGGGTGAGCCACTTCTCGGGCGCTTGACTGTCATTTCGCTGACCATTCGTCATCAGGTACACCAGTTGAAGATGCTGCCAGCATTCACTGTCATCCATGCCATAGGTCTTGGGACAAGGCTTTTGAAATGGTTGACTCTATCAAGCAAGAGCTAGAGAACAGCCATAATACGTTGATTGAGCGTCACGAGTACGTCTCCAGGGCCACATTGGACAACATCGGGCTCGCTGGCGTGGACCACGACTTCCAGAGTCTCAAAGAGTCTGAGACTACCTAAACCAACCAAATTGTTTGACTGGGTCGGGACTTTCAGCCGCTACTTGGACCTGCGTCTACTCCTCGAAATGCCGATCAAGAAACTTTGCGAGATAAAAGAGTCGAGGAATTACCTCGTGCGGCCTGTGGCGAGATGATCCGCGAGAGGAACCGGAAATTTACTGATTCTCAGGATGTGGCAGGAAATGACATCACCACAGTTGCTCCGGCCAGTAGCGCATTTACAGAGAGCCACGTGATCAATCACGTCATGATAGTTCTTACAGCCGTACACAAGTCTACTACCACGACGCTCGAATGGGCCGTGTATGAGCTCGCCAGGAGGCCCGAGATGCAGCAGCGGTTGAGGTCAGGGCCGCGAAAAGCTTTGGGAACGACCTTCGTGCCGGCGATTGCGGGCCCATCAACTTGAGTCAAAGAATCTTTTTCAATCTGGATGGTTCCCAGTCGGGATCGAACCAAGATATTCTTGGGCATGAAATCTCTCTGCCTCCGCATGATTTCGATTTGACTTGGACGTAGATGTCATGCCCACGGGTGATGTGAAAAGTAAAAGAAAGTAAAGCATCAATTGATGTACGACTTTGGGCTAGCCGCGAGGCGGGTAGCAGAAAATATAATCAAGGAAACTGTACCCCAAGGTCGGGAGAGTAGGGATATAAGTTACAAAAAAGGCTGTTTGCTTAACACGACACTCATGCTTTCACATCGACTTCAAGAAGTAAAAGAAGATTCACTTGTAGCGGCATTGTCCTCCGCTAATTCTGGCATTGCGATGAAGGTTTTCACAGACTACAATGCTCTTAAAGTTCGTACCTGGGATGGACAGCAAGGTGAGCTTTGATGCCCCTTCTCTGTTTAAGAAGAAATATTATGGACGGCACTTTATGCCCCACTGAGAACTTGAGTAATTCTCCCTTTGCGGGTTGAAATACTCCCTTGCGAGCCGTTTTGCTCTTTCAAGCCAGGAGATGCATTGAAAATGCACAGATGACAGATTGAGCTGGTGTATTTTGAATCTCTGCCCTACAGACAGCAGCGACGCGAGCCCCCAGGTTATGAGTGCTACCAAATGCCCTCGCCCAGTACAGCATCGAGACAGAAGGCCATCGCCACACGTGTTCCTTGAATTACTACCATGACATCGACTGGCTGCTCTCGCTTGATGTGAACTGTGCCAACTTCCCACACACGGCGCTTCTCGCCGTCCATATCTTCGGGCATCAAATTGGAAGCATCCATAACGCTCCTCTGGTGCTGAAGAGGAGGACACCTGGACCAGGCTAATCCATTTCGAGCGGTGAGGTGAGCTAACAAATACGAAGGGAACCCCAAAGCTTGGTAAATGTTGCGGGTCTGGTGGCGAAGAACAGCACCGTTAGTTCCATGTTCGTAGACATATAAGACGGCGGGCAAGGGGTTGCCTATCGCGTAAGGCATGCTTGTTAATAACAGCACTAGTGGAATGTTCTATTTTTTGCGTAACCTGAAGTATGAACTGGGACCAGTGCTTCTAAGTTGAATAATGCATTAAATGCACCTGTGGGGAGAACAGACCAACCCTCAGTAGGGCACGATTTACATACAAGAAGACATGCAGAAAAGGCTAACAGGCTGGTTTTTGAAGAATTGGATGTCGTGTGGGACACGTCAGTATAGGTCAGATCATCAATGACCATCTAGTCTTAGGTAACAAGGGCATGCGTGTATATCAATCGTGGCACGCTTTGGGATCAATCAACATCCGCCAATGGGTTTAAAATGATGTTACCAGCACTCATTAATCCAAGCTGCCACTTACAACCAATTTGCTTCCGTGCAAATCAAATATCTAGTCATTGACATGTTTCGCAAAGACATGACCTAGTCTTCCATCCGCTGCCATAGAGAACCGTAATCTTTGCACCGTCGGCGATATCACAAGTTGCCTTGGCAGCAAACACGTCTCGTCCGCTTACTTCCCTTCGGGCAGACTGGGTCGATGAATGACAGGAATGATTAAGCAACCTGAAAACGGCTATGGGTTTGCCCACTTGGTGTGCGAATCGTCCGGTCTCATCGGCAACACCCTGTAAGCCACGTTCGAGCTGCCCGTAGTCTTCGATCCGCGAGCAGGTGTCTTTGCCGCAAAAGTCGTACTTGTCATCAGTATGTGAGACTGTGGTGGGGTCGACTGGCCAGCATGGTACTTGCGGCCAGCCTTACGGGGGTGACCAAGCCGGGTATCGGTCTGGATTGCAGACGTTCCCCTTGATGGGCAGAAGTGGTCGAAGCAGCGCCAGCATCTCCTTGGCTGACAACCCGTCCGGGGGTTTGTTGTAGACCTCCCAAGCAAATTAAACATCTTACGAATCATGAGGTGGCGTCTAGTGAGTCGACAAATGCTCTTGCTGGTGAGCATAGAGATGCGGTGTAGTCTGTATTGAGAAGATACCTTAGGGCATCTATCTCCGTTTCGAGGAGACAACAAACCGCATTTGAGGACACGCCAAACGGATTGTTACTATCCAAAAGAACGGAGCACAATAGCTCTTTGCCATCTCGACAGAGTCGCATCCACTTGTTGCCCGACTTCGTATGGTGGACAGGTCGGCCTTGGAACACTGTGCTTTCCGAGCAACCGCGTCGATAACCGCAAAATTGGACCCGATACCGACGATCTTGGATTGGTCAATCTCGCAGGAAAGTGAGTACTCGTGAAGACGCATGATGAATTCCTCGATGTTGGACCTGCGGCGTGATATTGCGAGAGCATTGAGGCGCTGTCTAATGCGAGAATGAAGATCTCCCCCAAACCGCATCCGAGTTCTGTCATTGTTGGGTTCTCTCTGACTACATACAAGGCCGCAACACTGCTGAGTGGCTATGCGGCTTCCGATGCTTAGTGCAAGGCTTAATAGTTTTTAGGTGTGCCGGCTTGTTCCAGTCAATGCGAGGGATCTTGCATACTTAAGCTGTCTACCTTCTGGGCTTCTCTGACAATTTACCGTAGCTCCGCTCGAGGCCTGCCAATATCTCGTTTCTTGGCCGGTCGCTCATAGAGGGTCAGACCCGAAGACGGGACGGTTCTCTGAGTGGGCCATGTCAAAGTTGACAGCAGTGCAGGTCAAACAGTTGATGACAGCGTAGTATTGTTGAGCTCGGATGATCACCACGTCCCCGGGTCCCGCGCATTCGATAGTGAGATCAAGGTCTGCTGCCGCAAGCTTCGTAGGGCATGTGGACACAGAGGCATGGTGCACAAAATTCGCACATGAGTTCGTTTCCCGTTACCGACGCCCGAGGAGCTCGAGCGTCGATGTGTGTCATTCCGATATAGCCAGCCACAGCCGCCGACCGAGCCTTGCCAGAGTGCACGCCCGTATGCCAGCACTGCTCCTCCGAAAACACATACCAGAAAGCCTGGTAGCAGCAGACACATACGAAATGTGCCCGTTGGCAGTGGCAGTATTTCGCGTAAGAAGGCTGTTGGAAGAAAAGATGGAGTCGACCTCGGACGCGTTGAGAGTTGAGGCCTTATGTAGTAAGGCACCATACCTCGTAGTGGAGATTCACAACAGCTCCATGTGTTCCCGGGTACTCATAGCTATGTGACTGCTTGATGCCAGATTTTAGCCGAGGCCAGTCAACCTTTGGTTGGTTCGTGATACGAATCTTGACAGCGACACGTTCGTTGGCGACCAGAATCTCCCGTCAGGTGGCATCCGGGACTTGGGCATCTCACAGCGGCTGCGAAAGGGGCTTCGGGGAGCGTGAATCATTGTTGTGATGTGAGTGGCAAATCAGCGATGCGGTCGGAGGGGGATGAAGTCAGACCAGTAGTTGCATACTTAGCTCTGCAAGGAGGAACGGTACGACGGTTCTGAAGATCGGTGTCGTGGAGAGTTTGCGCCCAAAATAGTTCAGAGGTAAGGGCGGGAGGGGAAGAGCAGAAACAAGCATGTTGAAGGATTGAAGACAGCTTCTACAGAGTGAGCCAACAATACACTAAGTACGATGTCTATGCTGTCTGTTGTCACCACTATAGATGCGTTGGACATACACTACGGCTTCTACCGTTCGTGCATGAAATACGGCAACGTTCCTGTTCATGAAAGTCTGGTTGATTGATTTGCAGCAACCTTGAGGCTTTTCATATACAGATTGGTATAAAAGGTGCTTCAAGGGATTCTGAATCGCCAAGGCCGTTTTACTTGCGCCGACACGCTTTTTGCCCAAGCAGAACCATGTCCTGGCTAGCATTGTCTAGAGCAAGCTTTGTACTACACCTAGAGGCCATGCCGAGAATCGACGGCTGGTTAAGGCACACGACGATGTCAACGGCCTGCGGTAATGCAACCGAATCTCCCGGAGAAAACCGTGAGGCATGATATCTGATGGCCCACTAGCTCCTGTAGAGGTGAGTGTCTGACAGCAGGGCTGAAAACCTCAAGACTCGTAAAATGGGCTTCCAGCGAGGCTGGGTTTTGATTCCGAGCGCACTGATTGGTCACGACGGCTGTCTTTGGGGCTGTCCAAGTGGTACCATCTAAGTCAAGAGGGTGGATTTCAACAGAGATTGAGCGGCATCTACTGGACTGCAGAGAAAGCGACGAAATCTATTTGCCTGTCTACCTATTGCATTGAAGGCTTGCCAGCACAAAGCGTGTCATATTCAGCAAAAAGAAACGAACTTCAACACAACAATCTACTTGCTGAAACTAGCAGCCTCCTCGGAAGTAGAGCGAAGGCGAACTCGTCCGACAAATTTGCCGTTTCTTTTCTTTTTGTCTCCCGACTGGGTTGGGGGCAGAGGTGGTCGGTCGTAGTCAGTAATTGTCCTCGTTATACATTGCAGAGCTGCTGCTAAGTAATGAGCAAGGGGGGCGTAATACTAGGGAGCTCATCAAGTAAACTTTCTGTGTCAACGGCCGGGAGTTCTGCGAGTTGTCAGGGAGAACAGGCCATTCAGGGCAAAACAAGCCAAGAGCCTCACCGGGGTCCATTAAACAGTCAGCAATG